TGAGGTTGCCCGAGCCAGATGTGACTGCAGCACCGAAACAGCACATTCGAGAACAAGGAAGGGAGGGGGGCAGAACCGGCAGGGGGATAAGGGGTGGTCCCCTAGTTGAACAGCTACTCCCACTGGAGAGCACGAGTTGGGATGGGGGCAGACCAGACTAGGCAGGGCTACAGCACCTGTGCGCCTCATATGGACCAGATCAGTGGAAAACCAGCAGGGCTGATTATTCCTACTGGTGCAATCTACAATTAGAGTGGGTGAGGGTTGTTGGGGTTTAGCCACAACATCAGCTGGCAGAAGCTGGCACTGGGGGATAATTCTGTCAAGCTAAACCACAGAACCACCTGGAGAGTGCATTATCTGGAAGTGGGAGTGACCTAGGAGGGAAATAGTGGGCTCTTCCCTCATGGGTTACCACCTCCCATGGGAGGGCACAAAAACTAGGACAGGGGCTGGGATGGCTAGACAGACACCCAACAACATCCGTGAAGGCTGAATAGTTGAGCTGGTTAGATGGAATAAGGTTTTAATACCCATTGACATGTATGAAAGCAGAAGGGAATGTGGGATACTCTGGACTAGCCTGCCACACATATTGGCAAACCAGGGTATGGGACGGGCCTGGTTGGGGTTAATGTGGGTCACTCATGCTAAGCTGCAGCTCCCACTGGTTTATGTAAATATGGCATTTATTGTACTTCATTTACATGTAAAAATATTTTGAGAAATTTTTATCTTCATAAATATAATTTTTACTTTATGCCTTATACTTGTGTATTAGACTGAAGTATAAGAAGGGATAGATTGTCACTTAAATGTCCTCTTGTTGAATGAACTAATTATTTTTATAATAATCTCTATATTTACATGCTAATAACAGGAAATACACTACTAAGTATGTGACTTTTTAACATCTTCAGAAACAGATACAGTATATTAGGCAACTATTTCTAATACAAGTTTTCATCACTTTCACTGATGGTCAATAAGGTTTTTTTGAAAATATGTTCAAATTTAATAATTAATATTTCATGTCTAAGAGATACTGTATTTTTCAGATATGATAGCCTGATACACTATGAAAAATAAGTCACAACATATCAATTAATTTAAGTATGAATATTGCATATACAAGCAACTGGGCCAGTGTAATAACCTTGGAGTAGAGATGTAAGTTAATACATTTCAAGATAACTGTATGTACATATATTGTTGGATGGTTGGTGGCTTTACTGTGTGTCCTTAATAAGTGAATTTCAAGTTATCATGCTAATTACTCTGTGAAACATTGGAGGTAGCACCCCTTACACAGGGGTAAATTCTTATATATATATCTAAGAGAGAGTAAATCAGAATGTCAACAGATGCTTTTCAGAGAATACAAGTCATGTACCTGAGATTATGGAATATTGTATATAGTGGCAATAACAAGAACTAGACCATAGGTTTCTGATTGCTATTAAATATATTAGCATTACAGATCATTAGACATGGTATTTTACACAGCAGAGATACAAAGGGGTTGGATTTAATTTTTGTGCATAGTGAATCTTTATGATATAATATTGGTCAAATTTAGAAATACTGACCTAAACACAAAATTGAAATAATTAAGAAATACAAAGCATCTAACTGAAGTCCCAATATTTTGTGTTGTTTTAAGCATAGGAGAAGTGAGAGCAACAATGATAGTTACTAATATTCTTATCTAAAATACATTTTAAAAATAACCATATTTAGCATATATATATAAAATATTACCTGTTGCCTTGCCAATTATTTTACAGTAGACATAATAACCACATTTTGATAAGCATCTTTAAAGTGGGCACATTTCATTCAGTCCACAAAAAAGATTTAAAAGTACAGAGATCCTTCCCGCCCTGTACTCCCTGACGCTTACATTGCCCACCCAACCTCCTCCTTCCTTATTTCTTTTGTTTTCCCTTTAGTTTTTACAATGCCCTATTTTTGTTTTGATGTTGCATCCAAAGGCCTAACATTCCATTAGGTAAATATAGCAACACACAGGAAAAAGAAGAAAATAAGTCTACCATTTCTCAGGGGCTCAGACAAAATCTACAAGCAACCTCCAAATCCCAGTATGCTAATATCACTCGTATGGATTACACTCTTTTACTCTGTGCATTAATTATCACAGATCAGGGAAAACATGATGTTTGGGACTGGATTATTTCACTAAATAACGGTTTCCAACTGAACACATCAGTTACTACAGACAATAATTTTCAATGGCTGAGTAGTACTCCAAGATGCAAATACATCACATTTCATTTTCTTTATCCAGTCATCAGCTGCTAGACATCTGATTTGATTCCATATCTTAGCTATTGCAAATTGAGTTGCTACAAATATAGGGCTATATATTCTGACTTCATTTATTTTGGATAAATTCCCATGATGGGGTTAAACATCCCAGGGATGGTTGGGTCACACCAATTTTCACTTTAGCTCACAATTTGAAGTCCATGGAGTAAAGTGAAGCATGGACCTTTCATCAGAAATAACTGAAGAATGCTACAGCTAGAGAAGACAGAAAGTATTTCTATTCATATAAAGGTAAGTTATGATAGATATGGGAATTTTATTTGGAAGAAAGATGTGTAAAATGTAGGTTTGTATTGATGCTACAATGGGATATTGAATATCAGAATATTTTTGTCAGCACATTTTAAGTTGTAAAACAAATGATCATAGACAAAATAAAATCAGCATATGAAAGAGTTATTTGCAGAACCCCATATTATTTTTATATTTCCTAAATTATATATTTAATCCAGATGCCTATAAAATGGTGACTGTGTTACACACACACTGGAATAAACACTTTGGGATTTTCTTCAGGCAAAAAACAACATTTTGCGGGCCTGGCACCTTAGCCTAGTTCCTAAATTGCACATGCCTGGATTCCTTACAGAAGCCAGCTCGTGTCCCAGTGGCCTCAATTCCTATCCACCTCCTTGCTTGTGGCCTGGGTTCTAGGTATAAAATGAACATTTGTGAATCGAATTGCTTTGTTCTGTTTTTAGCTTGGTCTGCAGTGGAAGTATGTTCTTGTGATCCCTTTCCTTTTTTACTTGTTGAACGTTATGGCAAATGTCAGATAGGAATGAGAATTGAAGTTACAGCCCCGCAAATACTGTTTAAAAGATAGAAGAGAGAAGAGAGTGGGGAGAAGCACTAGATGAAGGAAAAGGTATGGTCTTATGGAGATGGTCTAGAATGCATACAATCTGTTCCCTTTAATAAGAATGTAAAGTGAAAAGCTCTATCATTGCACAAGCTTCTGTAAACCCGTGTGCCTACCACGTGTTGTGCACCTCACTGTGATAGACCCACACTTAATGTCCCACCTTACCTGAAAGCAGTACTCTTTCCCCACTGTATTTATGGCTAAAAAATTCTAGTGAAGACAGTTTTTTCAACAAAAGTAGAAATTAAGTTTAATAAAAATGTCATTTCCAATGTAACAATAAAGCCTGAGGAAAGTTTTTGACTTTCAAGATTGAATGAAAAATGTTTTTTTTTTGAATTGGATTTTAAAGCTAGTTGACTTTGCATTGCTTCTTCTGCTGTATAGCTTGCTCCTATTGTAGTGTGTAAGAGATTTCTGAAGAAATAGTCACAGGCAAAACACTTTCAAGCCTGTGCATACATAGGTGTTATATAAACTTAACCTAGTCTTAGAATTTCATTTTTCACTACCACTAATTCAGCAACATTTCTTTCTATTCTATATTTTAGAATACACACATTTTAGTCCTATAGTATTTCCTTTTCAAAAACATTTAATTATTTGTTCATTTCAAAGGCAGAATGACAGAAAGGGAAAGACATCTCCCACTTACTTGCTGGTTCCCTTCCAAATGACTGCAATCACCAAACCTGGATCAAATGGATTCTAAGGGCCTGGAACTAAATGTAGGTCCTTCCAGGTGGGGGCAAGACTGCAAGTGCCTGGGGCATCGTCTGTTGCCTCCAAGGCTGTCCAGTCCTAAGGAATAGATCCAAGCTGAAAGCAGAATGTGATCCCAGGCACTCCAACAGAAGACAGAAAAACAAGTACCCAAAATGTAACTTAACGCACAACCACATACATTGTTACTAATAATTTTTAAAGTTCATCTTTCTACATACAAGATAACATAAAATCTAAAACACATTACATAATTCCAAAGATTTAGATTTTAGGTCAAAGACTATAAAACAACATGCCAATTAAAGAATAACAAAATTTAGAAGTTCACAGCAATGATATTCTGTTATCACCAAAAGAAAATTTAACAAGTTGCTTAATACAAGTCATTTTTGTATTAAACACTGCCAAAATTTAAGTATACAAGTTCTTGAAAATGTTATTTTGGGAATTACTTTTGTTCCATGAAAAGTTACTTAGTTTTTTTTTGTTTGTTTGTTTTATGTAAACCCTACTTTTACTTAAGATAACCGGCTTCTATTTACTGGAAAAATGTTTTGAAAACAAATATCTATTTCTTAAATTGTTTGAAATGAAAAATGTATATTAGCAAGTACCCTTGCATAGACTCTTTTGCTTATTTTAAAAAAGCATCCAAGATGATAAAGGTGGCAAAGATAATTTATGTTCATGCTAAAACAAATTTGGCAGTAAAGATTAAACTCATATTATGAAAGAAAGGCAGGGGATTTAAACTTCAGCCTCAAGCAACTTGAAGTTCTAGTTAGAAATGTGTCAGTAAGATTAAATAGTTCTGGCTTTTCTCTGGATGGTGTGGACAAGACGAAATTTTCAAACATATTTTATTGGTTAAAAAATAGTAATTGGTATTAGGAAGAAAGTCATTTAGTAACCGTTGTTCAAACATTTTTACGTGCCAGGAATAATTTTACATTCTCGGCATATAAGAAGTAAACAAAATATAAAAAGAAATCTACTTTGTTTATTTTGAATTTTATAAAATCATAGATTTACATGTCTCAAGATTAAGATTAAAAATTCTGTGCTCGCTTCGGCAGCACATATACTAAAATCGGAACGATACAGAGAAGATTAGCATGGCCCTGTGCAAGATTAAAAATTCTAAAGCATAAAAAGAAGTCATGTAGGGCCTGGTGCCATAGCTTAGTGACTTAAGTCCTCTCCCAGAACTTACCAGAATCCCATATGGGTGCTGGTTCTAATACGGCAGCCCTGCTTCCCAGCCAGCTCCCTGGTTGGCCAGAGAAAGCAGTCAAGGACAGCCCAAAGCCTTGGGATCCTGCATCCACGTGGGAGGCCAGGAAGAACCACCAGGTTCCTGGCTTCAGATTGACTCAACTCAATCATTGCGACCGCTTGGGGAGTGTACAATCGGATGGAAGATCTTCCTCTGTCTCTCCTCCTCTCTGTATATCTGGTATTCCAATGCAAATAAAATATTTGTTTAAAAGAAGGCATATATTAATTTAAAATGGAGCTTAACTTTAAAAATTGAATGGTTACTCTCTGAGAATTGATGAGCCTATAATACATATCTTTTTCTTAGCAAGTCAAAGAATTCCCTTATGGGTAAATCTATTCATTGTGTTAGCTCTAACACATTCAATAGGTATCGCTCAGCATCATAAATATAAAATTTCTTAAGAAATATTTTAGGTACCCCTTTTGGGGTATAAGAGGTTAAGCATCTATCTATAGCTTCATTTGCTCATATGGGTCCTGTTAAAATTCCAGCTTGTCCACTTCTCATTCAATTCCTTGAAAATGCACCTGTGAAAACAACTGAAGTTGGCCCAAACTGTTGGACTTCTTCATCTGTATAGGAGACCTATAGAGAAACGTCTAGCTTTGCCTTGGCCACCCTCAACCTTTGCTGCTATACAGAGAGAGTTAACTAACAGATGAAGGAGATCTCTCTGCCTCTGTGACTGTGTCTTCAAACAAATAAAACACACCTGTTAATAAAACATTTTTTATAATTTCTGTGCATAGGATTTATTAATTTATAAAGTCATGTTTTTGCCACCAATCATGGCCAAAAAAAAAAAAAGGATAGTTAATAATTGTAGCATATAACTCACAATTCCAGTATCACCTAATGGGTGTCCAATGATGACTTTTATTTCTCCAGCATAATGCTATTTTAATTCTAAATTTCTATGCGTTTGAATCTTTCTGCATAACCAATATACTCCATTCATATCATCTCAATTATTAATAAGTAGAAGAAACTTAAGAAGAATTGCACTTACCCAACATATTTTCAGTGGATAATAGCAAAATAGATTAGCTTTCTTCACTGTTGGTCATACTTTTTTATTTATTTATTTATTTATTTATTTATTTATTTATTTATTTATTTTGTAGAATAGATAAACCTCACATAGTCTGGTTTATTTATAGGATCTAAGGTGATTTTCTATTTCAAAAAATTTTAATATTTGAGCATGCAAACTAAACTGTGACAGACCCTCCATTAAGGAATTTGAACCACTTAACTCATTAGAAGGGAAATCATATTATTTGTAATTGTCAGTTTTGGCTTCTGGCTAATAACAGTTCACATTCATTCAAATCTTGCTTTATTAAAAACTAAATCAAATGAATATTTTTTAAAGATTTATTTTTATTATTTTTTATTGGAAAGGTAGATATACAGAGATGAGAGACAGAGAAGAAGATCTTCTGTCCGATGATTCACTCCCCAAGTGAGCACAACGGCCGATACTATGCCAATCAGAAGCCAGGAACCTCTTCCGGGTCTCCCACGCGGGTGCAGGTTCCCAAAGCTTTGGGCTGTCCTCAGCTGCTCTCCTGGGCCACAGGCAGGGAGCTGGAAGGGAAGCGGGGCTGCCTGGATAGAACTGGCGCCCATATGGGATCCCGGGCGTGCAAGGCGAGGACCTTAACCACTTGTGCCACCAAGCTGGGCCCTCAAATGAATATTTTAAGTCTACATATTATTTATCCTAACAGTCAAAAGAACAAATGAAGTTTGATGTGCTATGGAAATATTTTCTCAGTATTGTTTCTGATTACTGAAATAACTGACAGTTATACTGAAGAAACCCTTACTACAACTTGGCTGGCATGGTTCTCAGACTTACCTCTGCATACACTACATGCTCTAATTTTCCATTCAGACCTTTAGCATTTCAGCTTTCTTTTAATGTCAACTTTGTGTTTTCTTGTTAAGAAGATCAGATTTTCCCTGAGGATACCCATGTTCTCAATACTGGACCCCCGGAAACCATATTGGACAAATAATCTTCTGCATGAGAAATCTGAGTGGCAAAGGTCTACTTATGTATGGTTGATAAAGTTGGAAGTTAACAGAACATGAAATTGTAATTAAATTAATAACCTGTCATTTAATATTATACCTGAATCTGTGCTCTCTTACAGTTAAGGCTATATGAGTAACTCCATTAAAAATTGATTTTCAGTGGTTTGTAACTTAAGCGCAAATGATCTGTCCATGAGAGATGAAAATTGATATATGAGCATATCCCTTAGGAACCAACACATAATTGAATCTGAATGGTTGTTTTAAAGTTAAATTGCAATAGGTTAAGGGTGATATAAAAAAGTCATGAGTTTAAGAGAGCATTATGAATTAAATTTATACTGGATTTTTTTAATTTTAATTAGCAAATACTATTAATTTAAATAATAATTTTTCTTTCATATAAATGATAGAAATATTAAAGGGTATAACATTCTTGCCTTTAAGAATTTGATGATTTACTAGTTGCTATTTTAAATGAATAACCAGTAACGTTAAAAATATTATATAAAGAAAAAGTTTTTGATTTTCTCTTTCATTTTCAATATATACTGTTCTATCTTAAAAATAAACTAATCATCTGTATTAATCAAACTTTCTATAGCAGGTACTAAGGGATCAAGAATAAATTATAATATATGCAGCTTGTGATATTAATGTTGTATTATAGGATGTTGTAAACAACACTTGGCTTGGCACAATGACTCAACGTGCTAATCCTCTACCTCCACAAGTAGTCATCCTATACAGGTGCCAGCTGTGTCTTGGCTGCTCTACTTCCCATCCAACTCCCTGTTTATGGCCTGGCAAAACAGTAGAGCTTCCAAAGACTTGGAACCCGTTGGAGACCTGGATAAGCTTCAGGCTCCAGACTTCAGATCAGATCAGTTCAGCTCTGAACATTTTGGCCATTTGAGCATGGATGATTTTTTTTTGTCTCTCTTTCTCTCTGCAAATGTGCCTTTCCAGTAACAATGAATCTGAAAAGGACTAGGAAAGAAAGAAAGAAAGAAAGAAAGGAAAGAAAGAAAGAAAGAAAGAAAGAAAGAAAGAAAGAAAGAAAGAAAGAAAGGAAGGAAGGAAGGAAGGAAGGAAGGAAGGAAGGAAGGAAGGAAGGAAGGAAGGAAGGAAGGAAGGAAGGAAGGAAGAAAGAAAGGAAAGAAAGGAAGGAAGGAAGAAAGAAAGAAAGAAAGAAAGAAAGAAAGAAAGAAAGAAAGAAAGAAAGAAAGAAAGAAAGAAAGAAAGGAAATGAAAGGAACACCACCACTAGTTTAAAAATACTAAAATAGGGCCCAGAACAGTAGCGGCTAAAGTCCTCAGATTGCACACGTGGGATCCCACAAAGACACGGTTCATGTTCCTGCTACCTGGCTTCCTATCCAGTTTCCTACCTGTGGCACAAGAAAGAAATCAAGGATGATCCAAAGCCTTGGGACCCTGCACCTGCTTGGGAGACCCAAAAAAGACACCTGGCTCCTGGCTTTGGGTCATTTTAGATCTGACATTGTGGCCATTTGGGGAGTGAAACATCAGATGGATGGAGGGTCTTCATTTCTGTCTGTCCTCCTCTCTGTATATTACACTTCCAATAACAATAAATAAATACATCTTACAAAGAATACTAGAGTAGTTGAACTTGTGATCAGCCTACAATATAGAGTAAGCTTTCACTATTGCTGACTGTATCACATTTTAGAGAGTATGTTCCGGTCCAGGCTTGTTTGTTTTGCAATCTGGCTTCCTGGTGATGTATCTAGGAAGGAAGTGAAAGATGCCACAGGTGCATGGGCCTCTGTGATTCCTGTTAATGTCCAAGAGGAAGTCCAAAGTACTTGTCCTCAACCTGGTGCATTGGGAAGAGAATTTGCAGAATGAAGCCATTTCTCTCCCTCTGTAACTCTGCCTTTCAAATACATACATCTTTTATTTGAAAAGTTATTAAACTAATGACATTGAAGCAGCCTACAAAATACTGGTTACCAGAGGTTGGGATATGAATAGGATAGATAGGGCTTGAAGAGACATTTGAAAATGAGTAAAAAATGAAAGAGATACAAAAATATAACTGCTATCACATAATTTAGATAATGGATGTTGTTAAAAATATTGTGTTAGATATTCAAAATAAGGAAAATACTTTGCATGTTGTCAGTACAAGTAATATTGGATGTGTGTGATGATGTATATGACATCCATTAATTTTGCCATAATATGGTATAGATAAATGGAAGGATACATGCATTGAAAATTCACATTAAACCAACAATGACCATCTATCAAGAAAAATAATAAATACACGTTGTTATATAAAAGGGATCTTCAAAAAGTGAAAAATATATTCTGAAAAATTCATTTTGAATTTCAAATTCTTTGACCCAAGGTACGTAGCTTTAGATTTGATTTTCAACAATCATGTTAAAGTGATATATGAATAAGAAAGCCACGCACAAGTGTCTTTGTCGATGGATGCAGAGCTGGAGATTGGGGAAGACGTCAATCATTTATTCATAAAGAATGACATTGGAAGAAAGTATTTGTGGAAAGACATGAAAAAAGGAAAAGCATGTGAACGTTTCTGTGTGAGCAACAATCACTTAAATTGTAAAAGAAGAATGAAGATAAAAGTCATGCTCTACTTATAACATAATAGCCCAACTGTAAGATGCTAAATAATTTTAAATAGACCACTGTTTTAGTAAAAAAAAAAAAATGAGAATTAAACTGAGAATACTGTAACCAAGAATAATGATACATTGGTCACCATTGTTCATTTTCCAAGGTTTTCGTTACTCATAGTCAACTGAAGATTCAGTCATAGTAAATAGAAAACTCAGCAAGAAA